TTTACATAGATATTTTTTCAGTTATAATACTTTTTCTTCTTGATGACAGGTAGTTGGCTAATTTTTTTTGCTGTGGTTGAAGTTGAAAAAAAAAAGTTTTTGACGTCCTTATTGAGTAGCTGTTTTTTTTTTTTGCTTTTTTGTTAGGTTTTCGTATTTCTTATAGTATTACCATTTATTTTTATTTGCTAAATATCATTATTGTTATTAGTACTATCAGTATTAATGTCATTATTATTGTTGCTAATTGTTACTGTTGGTAGTGGTATTATTATTGTTATTATCTTTACTGCTTTCACTGTTGTTGTTACTTTAGTTATTATTTTTATTGGCATTGTCATTGTTATCACTACTTATTACTGTTGTTATTATTAATTCATTTATTTGTTTCATATTTATCTATTTGTTTTTGTTTTTGCTTTTATTTATCTATGTTTTTAAATTACTACTGTTAGGATTTTCTTCTGGAATTTTTTCATTATTGTCTCTCAAGCGCATAGCGAAGTGAAAATTTTGTTTAACAAATTATCCAACGCAGATAAGCTGTTCGCCGATCTTGATTGGTATGACACTGTTGTCACAGCTGGAACACTGCTGTCGCTTTCTTAGTGTTTCATTTTTTTTTTCCAAAATAATTGCTTGGGACACATTTCTTTTATATGCACTAGATTTCTTTATACTGTCTATTTTATTACATTTTTACTGGTGTGTTGGTCAGAAATGGAAATATTTTTAACATGATTTATTGGCAACATTTATGAGCACTTTTGTTTGAGAATCGAATTTGTTTTTTTAGGTCCTTAATAAGTAAAAGTGGAGGGCTGTAAAGATCTGATTTGTTAATAATTTCTTGACTTGTTAATTGCAGTTACGTTTTTTTAATTTTATCATAGTGATTTTTAGAAGTGTCGAAAGCGGATGGGTTTCATGATCTAGAAGGTGGACGCTTCACATATTCTGAACAACCTTGTAAACGGTCAAGGCGCACTGCCCAGAGCGCACCTTGTTCACCAAAGGGTATGTTTACGTAAATCAATTTATCACAAGTACAGTTGTCCTTTTTTTTTTTGTAGCTTACAAACCTTTTTTATGACCTCATGATGTTCGTCTTTCACTTGTTGTTGTAAGTTTTTCAACCGCTCATTCTGTATTTCACGCCCGGTCTGAGCTTTCGCATTTTTGAGTCATTCCGTTAATTGCTTGGCATCTTGGCACAAGTATTTTAAAATACTGCTTCATTTTTTTTTTTAATCTAAAACTGACTTTCAGGGTTGTTTGACAAGTCATTAGTAAACTACCATACAAAGAATATCAGATTTTAAGTTTTTTTTAGATTTTTATTGAATCTAAAACAAATTTTCAAATTTAAAATTAAATTTTTGTTTTTTTATTATTATTATTTTTGTTAAAGTATTTTTTTTTATTATTTTGGTTAGCCTACTTTGTTTTAAGGTAAACTGAATAATGTACAATTTATTATTTCTATCATTATTTTTCCAAACACCTGTTCTTTGAAAGCTGCCAAACAGAAATGTTTCTTGTTACATATTTTAATAATTGTCCTGCGGAAGTCGATTCGTTATCAAAAATTTATGCTGGTTTTTCATCCTGAGACACCGGATATTTGTGTTATTCTTTAACCGTTTTTATCTTGCCGTTGTCGGTGGTAATCATTTTTTGCAGGGTGGTGTTTATTAATTCTTCGTAACATTATTTTCATTCTTTCGATCTCGTCTTAAGTTATTTTTTTGATTCAGGTTGAGTCGTCAGAGGTAATTCATCCTAATTTCGACAGTATAACTTGGTATTAAGCACATTATATTAATCGCCTACTTTGTGTGGTAAGACGCTACTGTGGCAGAAACACAGTTTTTTAGATTAAGAATTGCTGAAGGTTTTAAGAGAATGACATTCACTGTTTTTCGGTGCTGATTTTTATCTCAGCTTTTTAAAAGTTTTTAAGCTTTTGCAGCGACGCAGCCGAAACTTCAGTTAATTTGCACTGATCTGACTCGAGGGCAATTTTTTCAAGGGTTTATTCGTCTACTTTAACATCTTAGGGACCGGAAATGTATTATATTCTTGTAACTTTTGAATAATGGTTTATTTGTTATTTGTTCAACTAAGATTAGCCGACTTTTAATAATGTTGAGAAGCGGCAGATATCCAGGTGGATAGAGCATAGATCTGTATCTAGGGTGAAAGCTATTTTGATAGCGGGTGGACAGCTTGCCGCATTTTCGTTCTTATACAACTATATTGTGTTACTTACGGCTACGCATTTCCTTATTGATTTTCTTCAGTCATACTTTATGTGCTTTTTATAGCATTATATCTGTAGAGGCTGTAGTTGTAAATTTGCTCTTTTTTTGTTTTGTTTTGTGCTACCATGAGTTATTTTTCCATGATTATATCTCCAGTTGCTGAATGATTGTATAGAAGAAAAAGGAAATAAAGAAAAGTTTGGTAGGAAAGTTAGTTATAAAAAGATGTCTTATAAACAAAAAGAACTGTTCTTTTTTTCATCTTATGTGTTAACAACTGGACATTTTAAATGCAAGTGTTATATGGATGCTAAAAAAGCTAGGAGTAAGATCGAGTAGAACTGCGTAAAGAGGTGAGGTAACAGAGAACGATGCTTGGATACAATAAGAAATAAATTCAAAAATTACTAGAAATTGCCTTTATGAGAATGTTGAGTAGCTGCCTGTTAGATCTTTAATGCATTTTATTTTTTACTTTTTGTTTTTTCTTCATTTTCTGATCAATAAACGCCTCAAGTGTTATATACGGTCAATAGCGTCTTCTCCTTGCAAATCGTGTTCTTCTTCTGGTAGACCTTCCTTTGTTTCTCTGTTTCTTAAACAGAAATATTAGAAAGTTTTCGCTGTAAACTTTAAAGTGACTGAAAAAAAAACATGTTATTTTTTAACTGTCACGTAAACTGTTGAATATCAGAGCTTCATGAATATGGAATTCATTTTAGGGGTTTTGTTTCGTCGTGAACAAGTGAATGCAGGATCAACGTTTCGAGTCCGACAGTCTGTGAAAGATGGTAGATCGTTACTCCAAATTTGCCATTCTCCTCCCGAATTTCGTTCTGCACCAAATAATCGTTACTCAAAGGTATTTTTCAAAAGCCAGTTAAGGCAATGGTAATTCTTCCATGCTTTTAGTTTTTTGTTGATTAAGTCGTTAGAATAGCTTGTGCATTTTCTTTTAAAGGAGTTTTGGTATAGTAGAAAGCAGGAGACTGCTTTTGTTTAGTTTGTGTTATGTCGCTTAGTTTTGTTGAGTATATTAAGTACCTGGTTTTTCAAGAGACGTGGCTAGCTAACAGAAGTTCATATGCTGCACTCAAGTATACCGCACTTTTCCACTGGAAGTGGGTGAATGAAATTTTAATGTAAACGAAAGAAGGGATATGCTACTTGAATTGGGTGGTAACAAAAAATTTTTAGAATCAAAGAGAGTGCTATTTTTGCTATATTGCAAGAACGCTTTGGTACGTAGTCGTAGGTAAGAATCATTGCTGACAGTGAAGTCGTAGTTGCTTAGTGGGATTCTAAGAGTATTGTGCTAAAAACTTGAAGTTTGAAAATACTATTTTGAGTGTTAAATGTCTTACAGATTCTAAAAGCTGTTTACTGTTTGTCCTGTTTTGTGATGTATTGGATAATGTAAGACTTATAGTTTTTTATTCAGTAGTCAAAATCCAGGATTTTTTTTTACAGTTGTAACATATCCACTAAAATTTTAAACATTCAAATTTTTTGAAGTGGAAATTGCAATGTGCAGCAAGCTGAGATGAATCATTCACATTATCCTTTTGTTAATCAATTCCTAGTTATTTTAGATTCGATTAGGTTTACCTGCTGCTTTGCATTTATAGTAGTGGAAGCAAAACGTATGCCACGTGATATTCTTTGGTTTTCTGAGCAAATATTTTTTTCTGCTGTACTCTTATTATTATTATATTTTGAAGCGCTG